CTTTAGGATAACTGGGGGAGACACCACCCGAATTTGGCTTAGTTGGTTGTTTCAAACAAATGATATTTTTAGTTGAGTTAGACGTTCAGGTTTTCAGTGAATAGACTGAAGCGAGTTATAGATTCGTATCTACAGGGATTAGTACACGAGAAATTGGCTAAAAGCAAATTATGTGGTGGTTTCACAAACTGAAGTAGCAATGTAGCAATAAATTAATAGTTATGTATGTTATATTTTGCACTTTTACAGCTTTTTTGCATTATTAATCACCTGAGCATAGTCGTAATAGGATAGGTCGTAGAAGTTGGATAAGTCATGCATGACCCGATCGCTAGCCCATGCTATCAAGTCGTATCAAGTCATTTGTTCGTATATTAAAACGTTAGATTCGTAGCTGCTGCTCTGTTTTACTATTTTTTCAACGACGGTAAAAATAACCTTCGAGACTGGCATAATGTCCATTCGCATCGAAGTATTTTTCACCATAAGAATGATATCAATATCCCTGCAGAGTTAAATTTCAAACATAAATATCGTAAATTAGAAGTCATTATGTCTTCATAGATCATTAACGGATCACTTTCATGTACATTATTTCGTTAACAATGAACCGTCTACTGCAGATTGTTCATCCTTTGTTATGAAACAATTATACTGTATCACCTCTCTTTGAAGTGTCATAATGAGATGACGTAACAAGATAATGATGCATAAAATTATTACGTGACCTAATAATTGGATTACATGTCTCTAACGTAATAATGTCATCCGCTATAACTGATATATTTAGTGAGATTTGAGAAATTTTGACATCAATTTTTAAAAATATACGTACAAGTCCACAGCTCCCCCCCCAAAAAAAACATGAAGTTCTCAAATACTTCAACGAAAATAAAATGCATTTTTTGAACTTCTGTTTGTGTATGATTGTACCGAAAGATTTCAGTAATTTAGGACGAAATACACAAAAGTTTGTTATCTCTAGAATACTTTCCAAATAACTCGGGCTCTGTTTTTCGTTCTCTGTGTTTTTTTTTATTAATTTTGTTCAATTTTTCAAATTAAGGAAAATCGTTATTTTCCATAAATCATATCGGAAGATAATTTTGTTTTGAAAGCGTATCGACTCTCGAGACATTACAGTGAAAAAGTTTTGTTAAACTCACTACCATTCCATGGCTAATGATGTTGCAAAATTAAAACTCGATGTGGCCGGAGCGATCTGGGTATATTATGGGAATAAAAATATTTGGGCCCTCTCGCTCACTACTCTTCTAGAACGGAAATATAGAACGCTCCGTCATCTATAGGCCATGTGCATTAATTAAGTAATCTTAGGGTGATAAAGAATTTCGAGCACACTCTCTTTTTTTGCAAATTTACTTTTTATTTGCGCCCTGGTAAATTCGACTTGGTTAGACTTTTCCCAATTTGTGTTTGAGCTTGAAATAAGAGAAATTTTTTTCTGTCATTACATTATTCTTAATATTAACGATTGTTAACGACAGAACTTTCCCACTTTTTGAGTTCAAATCCAGCAACTTTTTCCAAACTGCTTGTACAGAGCCATTTTCTTGGGGGCAATGTGAAACACTTTTTATGCAACGCATCAACGCATCTAGGAACAAGGCTCTTCACAGTCAGCCACTACTAGGCAAGGAGCTGCTATAGTGTTCAAAGGCGACAAAACTTTTCAAAATCAATTCGAGTTAAATTAACTACATTTTGCAAACAATAATCGGGGCTCCCGAAGTATGCGAACCAAGATGGCGGACATCGGAATGTAATATGTATACTAGGTTAGGGTTAGGCCATAATTTTAGGTATAAATACTACGGGAGGCTCTTGGCTAGTCTTCGAACTGATAATAGGACTAAAATAAGGAAAATTGGAAAAAAATTATCGCCTAACCCTAACCTGTTACCCATGTTACGTTCCGATGTCCGCCATCTTGGTTCGCATACTTCGGGAGCACCCAATAATCAAAGTACATTGATAACGTTGGTTAATTGAACGTAGCTTGTTGAAAGCCTTGTTTGGAGTGAAGATATGACACATAAATATAAGTTGAATTCACAAACTTTTTTAAAATTAAATTCAAAGAATCGCTGATGTATTTTCCACGAGATTTCGTTACTGATTGATATTGCGAGTGATGACATTTCTACTTTGAAAAATCAGGTCGTGTTTATTTTGGGGAGAAATCGTGGAAATTGTGCTTTCTGCGCCAAGAAATGCTCAATCAATCGATTTTTTGACCAAAATTATTAAGTAAAAAACATGTAAGCGTCTTTGCTTATATTGTTGAAGAGATTACTGTAACCTTGTAAAACTGAACCGCTTTATAGAGTGTCACTGTGGATTAGGCCAAGTGCGCGGTGCGTAAGGTTTTTGGACCAGGGGCCACAAATTTGTAAGTGTGACGTATAAAGTTATATTTTATGAACAATATTTAGGTTTTAGGTATTTAGGTTAAACATCAAAATTTGGTTTTAGTTTCGTTGTGGGAGCATCAATGGGTCCAGTTTGAATCACTTAACCGGCCATTCAATTTGTTTTCTTTCCTGAGACTTAGAACTTGCCTTATGTCATATAAACAGCAGATAGTAACTGTATGTGCTGATTTACCTTTTGTATCTGATGTATAATATTACTATAAGACAATAAATTCAGATGGTTTTAGTTTGTGGTCACTGCTGATTTTGGAACAATTCCATCCATAATCCGACCTTTAGTATCAATAAATGTAAACACGCAAAGCATTTCACGGCCAATTTAAAAATATCAGATTCTATCTCAAAATTTACACAAGAAATTGGCTGCTAATCGAATTTCATGGATTTTGAAAAACATTTGATAAATTTCGCCCTGGGCGTAAAGGTCTAAGGATATGGTTTGATGATATCATTGGGGTCAAAGTTTATTATTTAGGATCCATTGATATTTAACACCAGGATTCAAAGGTTAAGGAGTAATGAATGTGACTACCGGATACGAATGCGGAAGTTGATGGGGGTGTTTCCTGGGCCGGCTGCTTTGTGGTTGTGATGACTTTATCGAATTTATTTATTTACATATCATTTAGTCAATCGTCTAATTTACCGCGGCGCTATAATTCTTTATATTCTCTGTAGCCTTTGGCATTTCAGATGTCGCCTATATCTTCGCTCGAAGATGAGTCTCCTATCATTCTGAGTGAGTGTGTGTGACTTAGCTTTTACCGAAATTTTTCAGTAATCTTTGAACTTCAGTACTAGTGATTAAGACTAATTGCCAATACCCTTGCTTAAAGAATGAGTCTCATTTACTCCTGAATGCGTAATGCACCCCCACAATTATGTATAGTTTTGGTGGTCGCCCGTGACTTTGCTTACAGATGAGTGTTTTTCACTTTCATGTGCGCGTAGCTATTGGCACTTCAGTGGTCCCCGTAACCTGGCATATAGATGACTCTAATTTGCTTTAGAGTTAGTGCGCGTGACCTTGCTTTGAACAAGTTTTCTATATAAACCCTCCAGCGGGTGATTCGTCCGAAATTATTATAATATTCGTCCGAAACCGATATTTTTCATATTTTTTTGTCCGAAGATGTTGAATTCACTTACATTCGGGGTTGCTCTACCGGCTGCAGAATGTATGAAATACAGAGAGCTAGGAATAAGGCTCTCCGCCAGTTGGCGCTCTCAAAGATTTCACCTCGTGATATCGTCAACAGAGGTAAAAGGTCAACCGGAAGTGATGATGTTATAATAAGCATGACGTGTACAAAAACTGTTGCACCATAATGATTCTGCACTTGTATATTTTGCATTTTGGGAAATTCATTTTGTATTTGTTGTGCTCAGTTACAAATGATTCAAGTCCAATAAATATTCTCTTCCAACGAAGCATTCGTCCGATTTCCTAATAGCTAAAACATCGGGCCCAAATATCGCAGGCATCATCTCACTTATTGTACAAAGCCTGCTTCGGAATGTAAGGCGTGAAAAATCGTCGTTTAAAAGCTATAATAAGCATTCATTGTGTACCTAGTCAGTTAACTTTCATCATAACACACAGTCGTTTTTTCATTTTCAATGTCATCATCATCTTGTATAATTGTGACATCACAGTTGAAGTAATGTGACATAACAGTTGTAGTATTGTTTCATCATCAATGACATAAAATTGCTGTGTAAGGTATCGAAATCTAGTATCGTCATCAAGTCAAAGCGTCTCCAATTACCTTATATAAATCTTGCTAGGATGTATTTCTGCTTATATGTTGCTTATTATCTATGTGCATATCGTATTCTATCGGCTGAATTTTTTTTGGAAACTTATATTTTTATTCATTTTTTGTTTTCGAGCATGTTGTTCAACTAGGATTTCGATGTCCCTTTTAAGAACAATAACTTTCAAATATCGGATTGTCTAGGGACATTCTCTGCAGTATTTTCAGATTTTAATTTTTTCATCATGATATGATTGCGGGGAAATTACAAAACGTCAAATTTTAGTTCGCTCGATTTTGATTAATTTCACATAAATCAGGACCAAATAACAGAAATGATGAAGCAAAGGTTATCTTTTGAACCGATTATATTTTGTGTGTGTGTGCAGAAAAAAAAAGGAATTTTTGAACTTTTTGATTTTTTTGAAAAAATTCCGAATCGTCGTTTGAATCTTCGGGGTTACCCAAAAAGCAGAACCGTTGAATCTCTTAATTACCTTTACGGATGAAGAAAATTTATATAACAATTGAACTTCTGTTTGTGTATGATTGTACCCAAAAGTTTCCGCAATCTAGAACGCTTTGCATAAAAGTTATGTTCTCCTCAGAATATGTTCTAAATAACTCTGGTATTGTTTTGGGGTCATATATATTAAAAACGACATAAATCTTCCTGCTCAATAACTTCTATATTTGTGTCAGTTTGCAAAAAGATATTTTGAATCCCCTTAAACACATATACATTAGATATGCATCTAAGATATAGAATTTGATTCTTCTTTTACAGGTGTTTCATCTAACGATACCCACCATTCCTCGGTTCGTTACGAACCAGTTACCGATCGATCCTGCACCCCCCCTTCCCCAGGACGTCACGGTAGTCGCCATCGGTTGCTAGGCAGCAACAAGCACCGATCACCACGCATGACTGACGATGACATTACAGACGAGGATCGTCGCCGCGATTCCAGAGATGATGACGTAGGCGATGACGATGACGACATCGCAAGTATGGATGACGTTATCCGTGCGGAAGAACTCCGACCTTTGAACTCAAGACGTCGTATGTCGTCACCAGTTGTTATAGAACCCCACGTCAGGGATCAATACAGACGAGAATCGTCATCGATTCTCGCTAGAACGAATTCAGGAACAGTCTACGTCACAAAAGCAGGTCAGTCAGGCTTTTTCACATCGTAACTAAAACAAAACTGGATTCAAGCAGCCATTGATACGCAAGGAAATATTATTTTACGGAGTCCCGCAACCGCAATTTTTCATGTTTGGCATTGCTACCTAATTTATTACACCTCGGGCAGTTGGTTGGCACAAAGGTCAAGCTTAAATAATATCCAAGTGGGTGGAACGTTGGGCCTAACCCTGATGGCATTGCAGGCTATAAATCTTGGGTTGAAATCTTATTCCCACTACCTCACCCAGGGTGTGATAAGATGTTCAGACAATGCCGAACTGAAAAGTCCCCGGTACTTCAAACTTCAGTGACACTCTTTGACTGCCTATGAACAGCCATGTTCACAGTTGGAGGCTTTTTGAAACCTACTGAAAATTTTTTTTTTATTCCTTACAAAAGTCCAACAGAGTCCATTCTTACTAAATCGTTTACAAAACCTAATTACGTTTTAACTTAGCAAAATCGATTTCACGGACTTGCAGGAGCAACCGGTAACATTGTTATTATCGATCTGACTTAAAATAGCTTGTTCCGCGGTGGGAGAACAGCCAACTTAAATGCCAAGTTGTTGGCTCCTTGTTTTATGTGGCTTACTTAAATATTAAAGGACTGTATGTGACTTTGACCCCCAGCCATTTTTAATGCATGTACAACGGGTGAGGAGCAAACAGCTAAGCTACAGAGTGTTAATGAAGTCACAAAATTTTTCAAATTTAGGGAATTTGTCGATATCATATACAGTTTGTTGGCCATGCAGGTGTAATAAATAAATGAAGAAAAAACTTGAATAAACACTGATCAAAATAAAACAAACTTGGTTAAGATGTTTTGAGAAATGACTTCATGACAAAATTTCGGAGCTGTAACGTAACTTTGCGAACACCCTGTGTATCGTTTGCTTCTAACCAGGCATGCTACCAGTATGGTAGCAACCATTCGCTATTATATATATTTGTCTGATAATATATCAAATCTTCCTAAGTTTATATTTTTTAAACTTCTTTTTAGGTCCTACAACTTTACCTATTGAACCACGTCATCAAATGGGACTTCCGCGAATGGGAACTGGGCTTCCGCCTTCCGGTTCCACGTCACAAAACACAGTTCCGCACGGAGGAACACCGAATTTATACAAGCCTCAAGTAAGTTATTTTCAACAAACACAATAACACATACAAAGTCTTATTTCGTCACTTTTATACTTATAACGTAACATACAGAAACCGAATTCACTCGTGACGTCACGATTACCTACATCACAAACAGAGCAATTTGACCCCGTCGTCATGACAACGTTGAAACCAACGCACGAAGCTGACCAATCAGGATGGAATTACGTTGGAAGTCCAGAAGTCCGGTACGATAGTCGAGCTTTCTTGCTACATTTGTCTCTTTTGTTTTGTTTAAAACTCATTATTTTCCCCATCAGTCATAGTGAGGTAGTTGGCGACATACATTTTCTGAGTTCAGAGAACCTGCTGTCACTAAGTTCGATACAAAAAACAAGCTGTTCTCAAAATTCTGAATCCCACCACCGCATTCCTTTGCCTTTTCAAAACTTCATTCCCCCCACTGAAACTTTTTAAACTCTAATGCGGCATATGCAAGTGACACCTGGTGAAACTCGTTATCAGGCTTTGCATTGTTTGAGCAGTTTATAGTATGTCCCTAAGAAGAATATTAGTAATACTACAAGCAAATACAATAATTCTACTTCTACCTCATGTTATTATTTATAGAAAAAATAAACATTTTTAACGAGTTTGTAACCACAAGTTTTGAAATGGCCCGGAACAAGAGAACATTTGTTTTTGGTTATTTTCGTTTCGCTAGTTCGTTCCGCGCGATTTTCTCCCTGGGATTCCTGGTTGAATGGGGTTTTCAACATTTCACAGTTCCATTCATGCGTCACAGTGGTTCACAGCGGTCCCAGACGACACGCTATTTATTCATTCACAATGGATTTGTAAACTAGTTTTTGCAAATATTTCGCAAGTATGATGCAAGCTTGGGCCATACACGAAAATTGAATTATCCATAATCCATAATTGAATGTGTGAAGATTGGAAACTGGGAAAATTATTCAATTTTTACAAACGCTCACCCGTGGCTGGATATTTCGATGTTTTTTAAGTCTATATTAGGACAGTTCTAGAGCAATGAATAGAAAAAGAATTGCTATCCAATCAGTAATATTTCAATATCACAGCGATGCAAACGGTTACCACGTGACATGAAAGTTCTTGAAAATTGAATATGACATAGTATCTAGGTTTCGCAACGTTTTTGCGCCTTCGTTTTTTAGGACAAGGGTGGCTATACAACCACCATTATTTCAAGAATTTAGACCCTAGAATATAAGATGAGCAACGTAACTTCGTCTTTTCGACAACCTTCATAACTTCTGATAATTTAGCAGTTACACTAGCAGAACAATGATAAAATTCTCTCGCGGACCCGGTGGAGATATGGGCGCTACAACAGATAGCGAAGCTTCAACGACCATCAAGATAACTAAACTGCGACTTCAGTCACAATCAGCCCAGCCTAAACCTAAACCGAGATTCACCTCAAAAACATCTTCTCCTATCTAACTATATTCAAATATTCATAAATTCTAAAACAAAGAAAAAAATTCCTTCATCGTTTCGCAGACAATCCGTCGTCGGTGGTTGTGTGTGTGATAACAAACTAATTATTTTGTAATAATAAACTTACTTGTTACGTAATAATAAAAGGAAACCAATTAGCGACGATATGACAGCATAGAAAATGCAAATCTTGTTGCAAATAGTTTTGACAATTTAAATTAATATTAAACTGTTTTTCATCTATGCCATTGGGTTTGAGAAAAGAGCTACCCAATCTACCTTTGCTAGTTTCGTGACAAATATTTTTAGTGGGCTGTTCTAGAGGTCAAAGCGTTTGATTTCCGATAACTACCGTATGATGGCGATGCAGATTACAAATCGCAGGTTCGATTGCCAACCATCTCAAACTTGGCAGGCAATGCCGAACCAGTAAATTCCGATCTTCAAGAATAGTAGGCTTCTATCAGTGGAAACTGTACATAAAACCACTGACCGACTCGGACAAACTAGAAATCAGTACAAACATTCAAATGCAATATAACACAACAATTTTTTGATCTGTGTCTACTCATACTTTTGACACTGAAAAATTATAGTTTTGTGTTTTATCTGCCGATTTGTGACGTCATAAGTAACCGCTGATTGATTGGGGAGGGGCCGGCTATTGATTTGTATTGAAAGTTGGCGGCCGTTGAAAGAATAATAAAATGAGCATATTTTGGGAATAAAATTATTGGATGGATTTTTTTTCTTGTTTGGAATTCAAACTTTGGATTGCCTTGTGTTTTATTTACCGGCAATTTCAAAATTTCAAGAATATTTTACCTTTTTTGTTCACAGCATTAGTCAAACTAAAGTGGATAATTATTATGGAAAGTGTTTCAGATATCAAGTACGATTTATCATATTTTATCTGCGGCCAAGAGTCGGGCCATACGCTAAGATAGCCAAAATGTTGTTCTTTGTGTATTTAAAACTCCAAAAACCGTTTTTTGGGGATTATTTTGTCGAAATTAATAAAAATCAACTTTTAGGGTAAAATCTTGTTTATGCAAGAATCAAACCTCCTAATTTTTCTTAATTTTTAAAATTTAATCTCCCTATCAGTCAAACCCTGAGGTCGGGAGGTTAATCGAATTTAAAAAAACAACTCGACGATTGATTGGCTGATTTCATTCTCAGTCATGCATGATATATAAGTGTGAACGACTTTTTCACCTTACACTCAAGTCTCTGCTTCCACTGATACCAATTCCGTATGGTTCAGCATTCCCAGCCCCATTTATTTCACCCCGGGTGAGGTGGTGGGGTCATTTGAATATTTTGATGTTTAGAATTATAAAATTAACTCAAAAACCTTGCAAAACAGTGAAAAACTGTCAAAAAACATCAAAAACTTTGTAATTACTCCAGCCGAAAATCAAAAACTGAATCATAGGCTCATATTTGCATAACAATATTTGTTATTGTGCTTAAAGTCGAGGTCAGTAATTTAAACGGTGATTGATATTGTGTATATTGAGAGGTTGATTGGAGCAGTGTGTATCCTCTTACTTACACAAATGCGGATAGAAAGGAACTGTAGTCAGTTACAGAAAGACAGAGAGAAGGGACAATTAATTACTTAAACGGTTCTTCAATATCCACTCAATATAACTTTCATAATTTTTGCTACAGTTTGTTTGCAGTCAGTGCACCCAAGAGCAGAAAGAAAACAGCAGTGGTTAGATACTCTACTCTAAGAAACCATATATTACACACAAGCCATTAAAAAATCAAAAATTGAATACAAATAATTAATTTTTGCTACAATTTTTTTTGCGTTTAGTTATTCCAAAGGTAGACAGAAAAGAGCAGTACTTGTATACGCGCTACTCTAAGCAACCATATAACATACACAAGCCATAAAAACTCGTGTCGATTCAGAAATGCCTAACCGCCTCCAAACACCTAATACATCAAAATTTATCAATGTCAATTAGTAGATTGCCCTCTTTAAGCTATATTGCGTATACAAACATCCATCAGTGTTGTACACATGGTTAGCCTAATCCACACCGCTATATTGGGTGTTATGTCGCAAATCGCACTAATCGCCAAACCAAAAGCGTCGCATCGTCTGCACCACAAAATGGTAGAAGACAAAAATAGTCATGGACCGCCCATATGATGCTTATGTCATTCGTATTGTCTTGGAACCATAGCTGCGAATATTGCTTTAAGACCATAGCTGCGAATAGTTCAGTCGATACCATTTGTGGGAAAACTATTTCCGCGAAAGAGTCGATATCTTCTACATGGCGTTTTTTACGCAATTCTCTCATAATAAATCTTTGTTTTATAAGAAGACACTGATATAAAACGAGCTACAGTGCTAAGTTTTTCACGTTAGTTAGCCTCCATTTTAACTTTAGTGGCCAAGGAACCCAACTTCGGATATTCCTTCAAATCGGGCCATTTTTCATTCTCTCTTTTTTCAATGATTCACTTTACTCTTGTTATATACAGCACCATTACCCAGAATATCTAACTTGAAATTGCGTTAGAAATGCGTAATCCGTTTTTGAATATACAAAGGCGCCGGATTGTCTGTGCTTGCTGGTGTGAGCATAAACTGCAAGTCGTTCATGTGGAACATTATGAAACTGAACCTAATTTGGTAAGAATTTTGATGGGATTCGTTCGGTCTATTTATTGGTTAGCGCGGTGGACGGTGTCGCAAGTTATTAAGCCCATCGTTAAAAAAGGGGCGTATCAAGATCAATGCCCCAACAGAGGAGAACATTCAAAAAGAGATTGCTATCAAATATTCATTCCCAACATATGGCGTTCCAAAAATATAGTAGCACCTTGAATATAAGTGAATTCTCGTATAAATCCTTCATCAAAGCCTAGAGTTAAAACCTATTACGGCTTCCTCCACCCTCAAGTCCAAGCATCTGAAACAAATAACTGACTACCTAATCCCATACTTGACATAGACTGCGATAGTAACCTGACCGGGGGGCAGTGTTTCGCCATATGGTAGGTCGGCTTATCGGCTTTCCTCTCACCCAGGATGAATAAGAAATTTATATCATATCATGAATGAACTTACATGAATCAACAATGACATTTCTATCAAATTTACAGTGCATGTTGAATACACGAACGTACAAAATTAATTAGGTTTCGCTAAGTGGGGTCAAGGTCATGTATATAAAGTCAAGGTCGAATATTTATATTCCTCATGTAACATACTAATAGATCTGAACTTGTTTTATCCAACTATAGTTAATTGACTCGCGGTTTTGTCTTTTGATTTATGGAGTTCGTGGTCTCACATGTTACTGAGCTTGGGTCGTTATTTTTTAACAGTTACGATGCACATGTGTGTCAATCGTGCTAGTGAAGGGCCATAGACATAGCGTTATATATTCAGTAATATTTCCATACACAACTAAACTGTAAGTCATGGATGGGGCGCACCCGTCTCTGCCAAATGTAGAAATAGGGAAATTGCAGCTTGTCATTATATCGTTAATATATGTTAAAAGTACTCTACCTCGAGATATAGCGTATCCATAACAATTTGAAATTGCAAAAGGAATTAATTGATACCATATGTTGTTTTGGTACCCATATATCTATTAAATGGAGTAAAAATATTTGAACAATTACTGATAAACAACAAACCTGGTTGAGATATATTGATAACTGACTTCGTAACAAAATTTAAATTGCAAAGGGACTTTGTGGACACCCTTTATATGTATAGTTGAATGTA